AGAAGGAGGAGAAAAAGAAGGAGGAGCTAGTAAAAAATAGAAATATAGAAAAGAGGAAAAGAAAACGTTCAGTGTGTTTATTGTTGAATGTAACAGTTTTAAAAATAAGAGAATAATGGATGTTCATATATATACAAATTCTAAAGATTCATACAATCTGGGTTTAATATATATTGTACAGCAGAAAAGACGAGAGAAATATTAGAAAAAAAATCTAAAAATCTTTGATCTTAGACAAAGAAATTTTAGATGTTATGAGCAATGGAGCATCTGTTATGCAAAAATTTGGGAGATTGTCTCCTTTTTATCTACAATTATTTTACAACCATGCTTTACATCCAGCAGTTATAAAAATATTTTATACCAAAAAAAATAAGTACAACAATATAAAAAACCTGGTGATTCAAGTAAAAATTCTAATGATACAAAAAAAATTCTGATGATGCAGTAGATGAAATTTTTAAAGAAAAAGGTTATTTTTCAGAAAATAAATCTGATATGGGAAATTTGAAGTCACTATTTAAGAAATTAATGCTTTGGATAGTATTAACAAAAGTACAAGTAAAACAATAAAACAACAATGCAATATCTTTCAAATAACTGGTTCTAGAACTTAAAATTGAGAATTTTTTAGGGATGCGCTGTTAACAATAAAACTATATCAAATCAAAACAAACATAATTTTTCCACTTTCAGTGGAAAAATTTGTTACAAAAAAAAAGTTATCAAGCAAAACATCAAATGATGTGTTTCTTCTCAAATTTATTTCAATTTAGTAATGAAGACATAGCTTGTGGCTTGGAGATATTTCAACAAAATATTATGAGTTTTCAGGTTCAAACCAATTACTACCAATTACTGTTATATGAATCAACATTGTTAATTAAACTAGAATAAGTACTTTTATATGAATTAACATTATACAAATTGCACAAGTTTTAAACTATTTAGTTTTACTGCTTTTTTAAATGAATGTTCTAAATTTAAGTTGTCAGAACAACTTTATTGTATCAACAAATTTGTACAATGTGTTACTTTGAACAGTAAGTTCAAAGTAACACATTTTTTTTTATTAAGTGTAATATGAAGTGTAAACTTATCATGGATTGAAATTGTTCTACATTAAGTGTAATATGAAATGTAAACTTATCATGGATTGAAATTGTTCTACATTAAGTGTAATATGTAGTGTAAACTTATCATGGATTGAAACTGTTCTACATTAAGTGTAATATGAAGTATAAACTTATCATAGATTGAAATTGAGTTATAACAGGACTAGTGATTTAGAATGTTGCAAAAGTTTCAAAAGAACAAAAAAATTTTAAAGTAAAAATAAAATCTATTTGTAAAAAAAAATATTTAATAATGGTACTTTTTCTGATTTAAAATATTTATATATTTAAAATACTAAAATATTTTAAAACATTTTCTGATTTAAAATATTTTTTAATTTAGTCAAAAATATTTAGAATAAAAAAACAAAAAAATTTTTTTTACAAAATTTGAAAAGGTTTTTTTAATTTTGTAAAGTAAAATTAAAAAAAGAGTAGGATTTTTTAATTTTGCAAAGAGCAAAAAATATCAATTAAAATAACCTTTAATATTTTAAATTTTATTTTAATTGTATCTTATTATTCTAAATTTTTTTAAATACTTTAAAAACACTTGAATGACTTCTCACAACAAGTTTTATAACAAACCATAAAACTTATAAAGTCTATAACAAATTTCTAATTTTAAACCAATAAAATAGTTCGAAGCTATTATTACATTAAATAATCATACTAAATTAGCTATAAAATTAAATAATTATACAAAATCAAAATAAATTATACTTAGTTATCTAAATTATAATAAATTAAATAATCATAAATTATAATTTACTTAATCAAAAGCCATTTTTTTATTTTATATATTTAGTAATCAACTACAACATAAATTAAAGCCAAAAACAAAAAAAAGATCAATGATAAAAGGCAGAACTTATCTGTTTAAATGTCTATTGTTTTTCAATGTTTCAAAAAGATTAAATAAGTTAATTCAACTATAATTTTATTTCAAAACCTATTTCAGCCATAAAAATTGAGTTTGATAAAAGAATAGATTCAGGATAATCTATAACACTTAAGCTTTTCATATTTTTATTTTTTCCATTTTAATTTAATTTGATCAGTTGTGTATTCCTGAACATAACTAAAAAAAGTTTTTTTTTGTATTCAAATTTGTATTCAAAGAGAGAGGATTATAACGACAACTAAATTAGCCTCTTTAACTGTAGTGGCCTTCATAGCCTTGGGGAGGTGAATTGAAAAAAATGTAAAACAAAAGCATATTAAAAAAAAGGCAATAAAATTTTTACCCATTTTTCCATTGATGATCAAAATATTTTTGATGAAACCATTTTGAGCATCAGGCAAATGATCAGAAGCATAAACTTTCATATTGTTAAAATCTTTAGCATCAGAATTTTCAACTTTATAAATATTGAATCCATTTAAATCAACGGACCACCAGTATTTACTTTTGGAAAAACTTTGACATATTTTAACAGATGACCATTCACCTAATGTGAGAGGAGCTGTTTCTATATAGTATGTAGTATTACCACTTATTGCAGAAAAAATAACAAGTTTCCCAGACCCATTTTCATGAAACCAAATACCTTGATTTAAATCATCAAAATCTTTTTCCAATGTTAAACTAAGAACATATTTTAAACCTTTAGTATAAGTGATCGGTTTCACATAAAAAAATATTGTATAAACCTTCATCAAAACATTAAGTGTTCCAAGCAAAGAACTGGAATTCAAATTTAACTCTTTTTTTGAGTCAATATAATCTAAATAAAAATACTCATATCATTAAAGTTTAATTCAGAATAAAAAATCCATTATTATTGTTATTATTTTTTTGATTATATCAAACAATATGCTAATTCATTTTAAACCAGATTATATAATAACTAAAATTAAATGATAATTATAGCAGTAGAAAGAACTAATTAGCTTTCTTGCTTAACAAATTTGCCAACAAGACTGAAATTATTATATAGGGAGTTATTAAAAGGAAAAGGAGAGTTACTAAAAGGCAAAGGAAAGTTAAAGACCAAGAAAAAAAATTGTTTCAAAAAATGTAAATTTTATGAGTTAGGCATGAAATACAAGTAAGGAAAATATGCAGATGAGAATGAATTTCAAAGCATTGAAGTTCATGGAACAAAATAAGATAAATAAAAATTTTTGGAGTATAAAGGAACAGATAAAAAGATGCAGCTTATGTGAGTAAGAGTTAACTAATATTTAGTTTTGGTTGATGGAACAAGAAATAATACCTTAATTGCAATGTAGATTAAGATATATCTATATCAATTTATCTATATAGTAACAAACTTTTAAAGGACCTAAACATTTATAGATTTCATTCATAGATAAACATTTGTTGATTAGAATGATATTTGCTGCTCAATCAGAAGGCAAGTTTATTAAAGCAATTGCAGATAATTTTAATTATTTCTTTTGTATTTTGTAATTAAAATTATTTCTATTGTAATAATTTAAATATTTCTATTGTAAGAACCAATGTTTTTGATGTTTCGCATTAAAGAATAACTGATCTTAATTTAGTTTATATTTAATAAATTGTAAATAAAGGCTGTGATTGAAATGAAATGATGCTCAGCTAGGGTTCAAAAAAATTTTGACAGAGCATTTGACAGAGCATTTTGACAGAGTAATATTTTGTAAAATGGTGGGTTGTTTTATATGATATTGCGCTTGTGCTTTTTTCTTTGGATTGGTTTTATGTTTGGCATATAAGCTTATAATTGTATCCAGATACTTTTAATGTATCATTAAGAGCAGGAATGAAATTCTTAATAATAACATCACTTGATGATGTGACAGACAATCTTAACTTGATGGATTGTGGCAAACATTTATAAAGATAGGTGGATGATTAAAATCAGCATGTTTGTAATTGAGGGTACTATCCAGTTTACTGCAAGGTTCAGGGTTGACAAAAATCTGTTTTTTTTTAAAAACCCAACGCAGTAGATTTTTTTTGGGTAATTTTGGATTTTATAGAGTTACTTTGGGTTTTTTTAGGTTTTATTTTTATTTTATACCTGTTAATTTTTTTGTTTTTTTGTTTAATGATATTGAAAATTTGTATAATTTCCTACTTGAACTTTATTTAAAATATATTTTACATAATTTTATTTAACAATTTGTAAAAAGAAGTTTACAAATTATTTTTTTTAAGCGGGTTTTATTGGGCGGGTTTTTTAATGCCAACCCTGGTAAGTTTGACATGTATTTTCAAAAAGATTTAGGGTTACATCAGGATAATTTATGATTTTCAAACTATGTACAAATATTGCAATCAAAACATTGAAGGTGTGCATTTCATTTGTATATAATCAGAATATTTAACTTTGGTGAGAAATACTCTTAAGGAACAATTGAATACTGCAAATACCATACCTAGTAATCATCAAAAGGTAAAAAAATATGTATTTAATATACCTTTTATTATCTTTAAAAAACATGTATAATTTTTATTGATAAACTTAAATAGATTTTTTGTTTGAGTGGAATCATTGTCAAAAATATATATTATATAGAGATATATTAAATAGATATATTAAATAGTTTGCTGAGTCTGATATGTCTTATCTATAATTTTTATTCTTATCATTTTATATCATTTTAATCTTTTGTTTTGTGTACAATTTCTAAATAATGTGAATGGAAAACCATGAAAGAGCAAAGATAAAGTTTATAAAGCAAGATAACGATTAACAAACAACTTAAAAGATTGTAAATTATATGAATCAGGAAAACAAGATGACGGAAGCAAAATCCAAAGAAATGATGTTTGAGGAAAAAAACTTGACAAATAAGAATTTTTAGAGCGCTAAGGAACAGTCACATTAAAATGATAAGACTTAACCAAATGACAAGTAAAACAGGAATTAAAAGGAAGTAAAACAGAATTTTTATATATGGCACAACCTCTTGCAAGAGACTCAAGCTCTTTAGAGCAGTGCCCACTATAGTATTTATAAAAAAGAGAAAGCAACATTACAACAATATGATAATGGTTGGAGGTTGGCTGCAAGAACAGTTCCAACTATGTTGACAATGCATTTTTGCACCTTGTCTTGTAGTGAGATCACCTTAAAGTGAGATCTTTTTTCAAATTTAAAGCTTTGTTGTTAAAATGTTGGCTTATTATCAAGAAAAGAATAAATGGTAGTATCATCAGCAAACAATGCCACCTTAAATGTGAGAATTTCAAGGAGATCATTAATTTAAATAAAAAAATGTATAGGGCCAAGGATAGAACTTTGAAGACCTATGAAGTAACAGGATATGAAAAAGAGTGCTGTCCATTAAGGACAATTTTTATACTATTGATTTTTATACAATTAGTAAGGATTTATTTTATAATCTTAAAAATGTTGCCTAATACATCGTAAGAAAAGAGATTATGGAGAAGACCAGCATGTCAAACTTTATCAAAAGCTTTAGAAATGTTGAGAGCAACAGCTTTAGCCTTGTATATTTATATGAGGCACTATAAAATCTATCAGTTATTTATGTTATATATATAACAGTAATAACCTATTGGTTATTACTGTTAGCAAATCAGCAGTAGAACAAGAAGATCAAAATCCATATTGATGATCAGAAAGTAAGTTATTAGCTTTAAGATGAGAGATTAGGCATTTATTAATTAAAGACTCAAAATCCTTGCTTATGGTTGTATGGCATATGGAAGACTGATGTAGCAGTCATTAGACGCATCAGATTGCTCTTCTAAATTTTTAAAAATAGGGATAACATATGCCGCTTTCCAGCAGGCTAGAAAGCAAGACTCTGATAAGCACTTGTTAAATAGTTTTGAAAGTATAGATAACAGCTCTGGAAAACACTTCAGCAAGACTTTAACAGGTATGTTATAGTTTTGGAGAAGAAACACAAGCTGCAGAGGAGTCAAAGCAGGAAATCAATTAGATATAGAAGTTTGAGTGATTCGAAAATCAGGCAATGGATTTAATTGTTTGTTGGCTATATTAGGTAGAATGCGTTTAGTGGAATAAAGAGATGATACTGATGAGAAGTTCTTTGCAAACATTTAGCTTTGTCTTTAGGTGAGGTGAAAAAATCTGAACCATACAAGAGAGGTTTTCCCTTGTTATAGATGCTGTTAAAGATTCTCCAGAAGTCAGGAGAACCTATTTTATGTGATGAAATACAAAATTTCGTGGCCTGAGAATAGAGGACTTTAGTGTTGGACAAATCATTTTTACAATGGCTTTTAGTATTAGTAAACAGACATCTGTTTTCTGGAGAATTAATTTGCTGATAGGTATGAAAGTGATGGTTACAATTGGAAATTGCAGCAGCACAATGAGGAGAAAACCATGGCAAAGAGCGAGGCTTGACTTCTAAGTGTAGTGAGGGAATAAAAGATTACCTACCAGGCTGAACTCAAGAAATTACATAGCACATTTGTCAGCAGGAAGTTGAAAGATTTCTACCTAAGGGCCATCAAAAAGAAAATTGCATGAAGATGAAGAAGAATGAGATAAAAGTTTTAGAGAGATCAAACTGTGATCAGAAGTATCTAAGGGTGAATGTGGAAAAACTGATCACTGACTACATTCAGAAACAAGACATAAGCTGAGTAAAGTAGGTAAATGATTCGTCTGGAAAAGCGAGATGGAAAGTTGATTATTTGTGTTAAAGATTGAGAAAGGCAAAAATTGTGGGCCTTAATGCCTGCAGAGTCACTGACATTAGAGCTAAGCCATATAGTGTAATGAACATTAAAATCACCAAAAATATTGACTGAAGGATAAAGAAAAAGGGCTTGGTCAATTTAATCAGAAATAACATCAAAAAGAGTTCAGTCTTGAGATGAGGGAGAAATGCAATATAGCAAAGTGGTGCTAAATGAAAGCACATAAAAAAAAGTCTTTGGATTCACATCTAGTTTCTTAATAAATGGGTGAATTCTTACATATGTAGATCTCGTAGGCCAAGCATATGACTATTAGAGTCTTTACGAATTAAATGATAACCATAAAAATCTGAAAAAAATGATAACCATAAATATCTTTTTATGCAATATTTCCGCATTAAAACAAACAACTAGTGCAATGCTTGAAGAATCTGGAAAAAAAAACAAAAAAAACAAGAAACTGGTGCAATGCCTAGTTCATTGCTTGACAGAATTCTATTTCAATTTTTTCTATTTGATTTTTATTTATTTTGAGACAATTCCATTAATAATTGCATTACTTCTTTTTGACAAATTATCAAATTTGGCATATCATTATCAAATAATATTTGGAAATTTTTTTTGATGGTTTTTTCTGGTTTAATTAAGATCTTTAATCAATATTTCTAAATTTTCTAAAAAATGTTTTTTTTTCCTGATTCTATTTTCTTTACCCATATTGTTTACAAAACCATGCTCTTTAATCAAATTTTACTTTTTATAATACTTTAGATAACAAGTGATTAGATCAATAAGTGATTATGTCTTGATCAATCAATAAGTGATCAATAAGTGATTAGATCAATAAGTGATTAGATTAATAAGTGATTAGTCAATAAGTGATTATGTCTTTCAAAGGATATATAACAATTTCAATGGATATTTTTTGTTAGATATCTTCTACAAAAAATATTTGCCAATAATACAATTAAATACCTCTCTGCTACCAAAATATCTGGCTGCCAGAATGAACTACAAGATAATTAGTATAATGTTTTGTTTAAATTATTATAAATATAACTAATAGTCTTTTTTTTGTTACAAGTGTCTTTT